CCCCAAAACCCCAAAACCCCAAAACCCCACACCTAGTTAGACTCATTGAATTTTATTTTATCTTCAGCAATATAATCAAACGAGATTAAAACTCAAAAAAAATCTTCTTTTTGACAATTTCAGTTTTGGCATCTACTTCCAGTAACTGGCAATTTCGACATGTCCAAAGCCATGATCAACTAAAATCTTCTTCACAACATTCATCTCCATTCCACACTTGCCCATTCCAATCCACTTCAGATTCTCCCTAAAATCCTCCTCTTTAGAAAGCCCAGCAATCAGGTTTTCAAAGTGGGACTCATTGTTGCCCCAGTCACCATACGAAGAACCTCCTCAGCCACCCAAATTTAATCCTTGCATCGTACTGCCAGCAAGGGTTCCTCCGAAACCAGGAACAGAAGACAGGGAGAGTTTGCAGAAAGGAAGCCCAAAGTACTTTGTATGTCTGTTAGCGGAGAAGAGGGAGACGAGTTGATCCTGAGGGACTTCAAAATTATAAATAAACAACTGTCCAGTGACTCTCTTACTCACTTCCACCAGTTCCTCCAAGTAAAAGGACACACAACTACTCACAGAAGAGCCAAAGTTAAAATGGAGGACCCTCACTTTGTTGGGGAAATGGGTGGCCAGGAAAGTGTTGACTTCTTGGCAGTTCAGAGGGATGTTGTCAAGATCAAGTCAATCAATGTCTGGCATTCTCTTGTTCAGGGATGTTAGAAATTCCATGTGTTTGGGATTGTTAAGTGTAAGTGTCAGTCCAGTTTCAGGTCCGATCTGTTTGTCTTGCCCAGTGGTAATTTTGTAGAGAAGGCTGAGGTAAGAGCACTCGGAGAGGTTTAGCTTGGAGATTAGTCCCAGTTTAATGTTGTCATAGTCTGCCTTAAGATTCTCCTTCTCCTGTTCAGTAGCCTTAAGTTCTTCGATGTGTCTTTGCTTGATCTCATTCCTAAATTCTCTGAACTTCTTGGATATCGTGTCAAATATGGCATCATACTTCTCTTTTAGCTCCATTTGGACAAGCTCAGAGCTCTTCAGAGATTCATCTTTGACAGTTGAAAGTGATTGATTCCAAGCTCTAGTCACCAAATGCTCAACGTAAAGTGAATCTTTTTGCAAGACATTTTTAATCTTCAAAGTTTTATCGAGCAGTTCATATGACTTGTAGTACTTGCGGGTTTCTTGGGCTTCCTTTAGTTCATCAGAGATATGCTGGAACTCTACTCTCACAGTTGTGCTTAGATCATCTTCATCTGGAGGGATGCGTCCTTCATTCAGCATTTGAGTGTAGGCTAGGAAATCTTTTCTGCAGATTTCGATAGCTTTCAGATCAGTTTCAATAATAACATCATCAACAAGAGGTACTGAATCTTCGTTAGGATATCGAGTGAACCGGTGATACTGTCAAAGGTACAGGTTCTTCTCCGATAAGTAGCAAGCAGAAGCCTCACGGCATCCTTTGTGCTGACATTTTGGTAGTGTCATTTAGAAAATTTTATAAAATAAAAACAAATGCGTAATTTTAATACCATCAACGTCTGCAGACGATCTGGGGTTTTGGGGTTTTGGGGTTTTGGGGTTTTGGGG